TTTTGAAAATATTCTTTTTTTTACAAAATTTTAATAATAATTTTCAAAAATTAGATTTTTTAAAAAAGATTAAGTTAACTTTTTTTTTTTTGAAGATTATAATAGATAATAATAGATTATAATAGATTATAATAGATTTTTAGAGAATATGATGTAATTAAAATATTAAAAATAATTAAATTTGTAAAAATTAAAAAAGAATATTTTAATAAAATTGCGTTGAAGCTCATTTTTATTTTCAAATTTTTATTTGAAGATTTTTTCAATAAAATCTTTAAAAAATTTAATTATATTTGCAAAATCTGCAATTAAAAATCTTAAAAATTTGAATTTCAATAAAGAAATACCAAAAAAATCAATTATAATTGAAACCATTAAATAATATAATTGTTATTAAATGATATAATTAAAATAATAAAAAGAAAAAATTTTGTATAATTTTGTTGTTTTTAAAGTTTTTTCAATATTGAATATATGTAGTTGCGTTTAAAGGGCTCGAGAAGAGTCAAAAGGAATGCGAGAACCTTGGACCGTGTCTCGGGGATTCCAGAAGGTGATCGAAGAATCCAATCTTTCGGGAAGTATCCAAATGTCTCTATACCGAAGGGTCGCGCTCAAGGCAAAATGTTGTTTTTTTCAATTTAAAGGGATGCTGAAATAACTTTTAAATACTTTGAAAATTTTCGGTTAGATTTAAAACATGAAATGTTTTAATTTATTTTATTTAAAATAATCATAAATAATTGAGTTCTAGTGTGATAGAAATTGATTTAAAAATATTTCATAGTTAAAATTTCAAAAAATAGTTGAATAATAAAACAGTTTATATATAGGTAGTAGAAATGTTTAGAAATAATTTAAATTTAAAAAGTTTTGAATAATTTTATTTAAAAAATTATAAAAATTAATTGAATTTTAGTTAAACTTAAACATTTTCCCTCTTTCATACGTGGACCCGACGAAATCAAATTATTTTTGATTTATTATGAAATCAAAACAAATGAAAAATGGTTTATAGGTAATTATCTTTATAATATTGATAGGTATGTGAAAAATGAATTCAAAAAGCAGAGATGAAGGTTTAATTTTTAACTTATTATTATTATTAATAGTATATCAAGGGGGATGATTCCTCTTTGGTATTCGTGGAATTTTTTTTGGTATATTAGAAATATGAGAAAGGGATTTCAAACCTTATAAGATTTCAAAACCAAATTCCCTGAAGAGTTTCTCTATATTTATAATATACATATCTATGCTGGCACGACTCAAGTGTTCAACAGATTTTTCGGCAGTTTTCAAAAGGGACTCACGTATTATTTTCTTCAAAAATTTGAAGGTTTTCTCAGATGATGAGGGAGGAGCTGAGAAAAACAATAGTTTCGAAATTCAAAACCATCAGTTTTGGCTTAAGACTTCAACCATCTATCTATATATCTATATACCTATCTATTTGTACATATGGTTTAAAATTCTCATCATTTCAGGGTTTAGTAACATATATATATATATATATATATATATATATATATATATATATATATATATATATATATATATTATATATAAAATAAAAAAATTAAAAAAAAAATTTTTTTGACATCGAATTATTAATCGAATTAAAATACAAATTATTAAATTAACAATAATTGAATCGTAAATTTCGAAAAGGGTTCGACAATATTTACTTCTCTATAAATTTAAAATTATGGTTTACAACTAATGAAATAGTGCAGATTCGTTAACAAAGTAAATTAATAACAAATTCAACTAATTTTTATATTATCATAGAATTTTCTGAAATATATTTTTGTCGTAGAAAGTAAAATATTCTCTAAGTTTCATTTGCATTAAGGTTGAGTTTCGTTTGCACTATTATTGGAAAAGTAACCTTATAGAATTTCTTAAAAGAATTTTTGTAAAATTTAGAAAAAAAACTAATATAAGTTTTATTTGAATTTAGGTTGATTTTCCTTTGTACAGTTATAGGAAAAACAACTTTATAGCACAGTGAAAAACTCTACTTTATAATATAATTGCAGAAAATTTATCAGTTTCAGCAAAATTTTACGATTTTAAAACTCTTCTTTCTTAAATGTTTTTTTGGATTACGTGGTGTGGATATATAATAAAAGATTATTTTCCCCTCTTTTTGTGACTTATTCTCATTTATCATTGTTAGAAACGAAAAAAAAAAAATTTCGCTTCACTATTAAATAAACACATAAGTGAGGACCACCCACGTGTGTGAAAGTTTACAGTTCTTTTAATATAATGTACATGTATGTGCATGAGAATAAGAGAAGTATATAAATATGCGGGTCCTAAAGTCATGCCAGCTGTTTAGATTACATTACGGATAACGAGCAAAAAATAACCCAGTTCGTTCGTTATTTTTCAGGTAAAATTGTTTCTTTGAATTAAAGCAATTCTTTAAATATATAGTCGCATCGTAAAAAAAGCAAGTTCTTTGAACTTTGATGAGATGATTTTTGTTTGAATGAGAGGGAATGTTAAATCACTTCTAGGAGGTGAACGTATATATATGCATAATATATTTTAATCGTCGTGTTTCTATATATAATTATCTAAAGGGAACCATAGAATTATTTTTTTAAATCTTTAGTTTATAATCTTTTTTCAAATCGTTAGTTTAGAACGTCTGTATATTTTATTTTTTTATTTATTTTTCATGAAATGTTAGTTTATAGTAAATAATAATAATTATAACATATTATATACAATAGGCATTATTGTATACCTATGTGACGAGCACTGAAGAAAGATACCTAAGAAGCAAAAAATTTTAGGTTATATTTTCACTGTTAAAGTTAACAGTATATCAAATTGCAACGAACTGATGCCAAACAATGTGGATAAAATCATAAATTATTCCAAATTTTTGGCATCATTATGATCCACTTTAGTTTATTAATTATTATACAGTTTTCTTCACTTTAGCGAAGAACTTTCTTCATTAAAGTGAAGAAAACTGTGTTAAAATTTTTAAGTGAAAATACACAAATGTGATTTTAATTTAAGTATTTGTTATATATAAAATATTCCAAAAAAACTCATTTTGTTTTCATATATAAATAAAAATAAAATTATCGTCAATAACATAACCTATAATTTTCTTCCTAGGTATCTGCGCTTTCTTCATCGGAGCGCGTCACTTATTATAAAATATTATATACTATATATAATTAATATTAAAATTTATATATCATAATTTATAATTATTAATTACTTATTATTGCTTTAAAAAAGATTTTTAAAAATTTGTAGATGGCAAAAAAAGTTCGAAACGAAAATTTTATTACAGGACATTTGAAAATGTGTCTCTATAATCTAATGGAAAAGCGGAGACAGCAATGCTGACAATTTCAGAACTCAGTGTGTTTTATCGATTACAAATATATACCTGCGAGTATAGGAATGTGGCGGGCGATTTAAATGCTCGTACTAACGGTATTTCAATATAGAAAAAGTACAATCGTTAAGAAATATGTTAGTTCAAAAGAGTAAAGAATTATAATAATTGAAAATAAATTAATAAATAAATATAAGTTATGAGTAAATAGAAATTTTAGATTTATCTGTAAATTAAAAATAAATACAAATTATTAAAATACCCTAGAATATCTAAAATCATACATTTCTCTTTTCTTATTTTTGGAAAAAAAAATAATAAAATAAATCCAACCCAAAAATATTCTAAAAAATTTGAATTTTCCTAAAACCATTTTGTGAAATGTAGTTTGAAAATATAAAAGAAAACCTCTTTTCTTCCTGCTATGAATTTTTTAATATATATTTTTTTTAAACGAAACTTTGTAAATTTTAATTTGCATAGAAAAAAATATTGACAACATGAATATATTGCATTCTATACAGTATTATTTAATTAAAATTTCTTTTTTTTTTGCAATGTCATCATCAGTGGATGATACTACAATTTTATTCACACAAAAACATTCTTATTGATATTGTAAACACATGGTAATAATTGATATAAAGTTACTGATTGTGTATTAAAGTAATAATTACAAGATGTTATCACCACCCACCGTTTTCTTCATGTAATTCATAATGAAACATCGTCAAGATTTATATATATTTTTATATTATGTAAATATAAAATAAATTTTATTTATGTAAATAAAAATATATTTTATTATTTCGAATGAAAAGGGTTGCTTAGTAACACTATTTTGATTAGTTTTTTGTCTCAATTTGATATCCTTAGAAAAACTTGAAAGCATCAAATAGCAACGAATTGATACCAAAAATTTGGATCAAATCATAAATTGATTAAAATTTTTTTTATCAGTTTGATTCACGTTGGCATCAATTTGATACTTTCAAAAAAAAAAATTGTAGTCTTTAATTGTGCAATTTTGACTTTAGATTCGAAATTAGATTCCAAAAACCCCCCGAGAAATGTTTTTCTTAATGAATTTAGTGGATTGAAGAAAAAAGGTCCGCCATATTAGAGACGCCATTTTGAATTTTGTTAATCCGACTTTAGATTCTATACCTTATAACAATTTATACGCAAAATCTATATGGAAAATTATTCTGGAAATAAATTTTGCATTCGTATTTTATTTAAAACCGTGACTTAAGAAATAAAATGCGAAAAGAAGAGTTCGTTTTTTGATTTTAGTTTTTTTTGTATTATATGAAGTTGTCTGCGAATAATGACATTAATGTTAATCCACACCCCCCGAAGTGGTTAAAGTTCCAAATTTTCCTGTTTTTTTTCACAGAAAGAAATTCTTCTCAATTTCAGTTTTCTTGAAAATATCAAATTTGATACAAAAATTTAGATCAATTTTTTATTTAATCCACAGCTTAGTATCAAATACTTTCAAGAAAAGTGCGTTTTAATAATTTTTGGTAATTCAAAGAATTGAATTTAAATAATAAAATTCAATAAAAAGAGTTAAAAATTAAAACTAATAAAAGAAATAAGTAAAATTTTGAATAAAACTCACCTTCTCAAGCTGATCCAAGGCAACGTTTGCATCGGTCCAACTTGTCCTGACATAAAGGTCCGAATTGTGTCTAATTTTATCGCTTTTGAGAATTGCCAATTTTTTGCTATTATTGTTATTATTGTTGTTGTTGTTGTTATTGGTCTTAGTGTCAGTGGCATTTTGCGACTGGCTCTGACAAACAGAAGGGCGTCCCGCTAGGATCCCTGTTGGGCCGGACGCAGCGGTCATGATCCGTCATGCATCTGCCCCAAGCGCCTTTATCGACAAAAATTTTTTTTTCAAAATTTCGAAAAAATAAACTTTTTTTTTTCACAATTATTTCTCATGGAAATATTTTTGCTAAACAATCCTCTTCTTTTTCTTGATCCAAAACGTTGCAAAAAAAAAAATAATTCACCTCGTAATCCAGAAATCGAAAAATAGACTTCGGTCAGAATAATTGACCCACACCACTCTCACTCCCTTACACTTAAATTGCATGTAAACACCGAAAAAAAAAATTTTGCGCGAGAGAGAGAGAAAAGGAGAAAAAAAACACTATGGACTCAGTCTTGATTTGGAAATCCACACAAGGAAACTGACCCAATGGCTCATGATTGGTTACGCACTACTTCCCGGCATGCACTATATATACCCGGCACAGAATTTGGCGCGAAAATCGCGCTTTTTTTTTGAATTTTTAAAAACACGGGAAAAAAACTCGTTATTTAGGGGAATAGTTTACAGGCCTCGATTAATCCAAGGAGGCTGTTGAATTGGCACTTGAAAAAAAATTTAATGGAACTGGGTATCCTTTGGGGGCAGATGGGGGAAAATTTTCTCTTTTAATTGGAAAACCGAAAGTGTCGGTGATGAGAGTAACGCGTCTACAGGGTCCGCCGATGGCATCCGGTTACCCACGATAAATACGTAGGCGGTGGACCGCAGTTGATCCGTTTTCATGCGATGCCGAGAAAGAAACTGAAATTCTCTTCTTCACGAAGAGGACGCGCTTCACCATTTCACATATAATGCAGCAGCATCAAAAAGATTAAAACTTTCTTTGATTAATTTCTATCTTTTTTTGCCCCCGTATTTCTCTATTATTTATTTTATTTAATATTTCTTTAAAGATTCAAATTTTCCCCAAAAAAAACAAAACAAATTCACACGACTCGTCTATTTTAAATTGAGATAAAAAACATTCAAAACCCGGCTCGGCTCTTCTTCTTCTTCTTTTGAATGCATTTAAAAATTGAAAAATAACAATATAAACACGGACCACCACCGTTCTCTGGTTGTGGCTAAGTCAGTACTAAAGCGAAACGCGCTGCCACATTTCTTTCGTGGCCTCCTGCCTTCTGCACGCCGGCCATAGTTGACGGATACGCCCCACCACTCTCGATCTCAACATCACCCGTATAGAGAGGATCCCTGTCCCCGAGAGTTCTCCGCACAAACAACAATCAGTAACGTCTCAAGGATTTTTCGATTCCCTGGCTCAATAATCGATTTTCAATTTTTTCTGTTGAACTTAATCTACATCTTTTGGAAATTTAGTGGAAAAATTATTTTTTACTTGATCTTTGTCAATATTGAAGGTGAAGTTGATTTTTAGTAATTTTTAATTCAATTTTAAAAAACTATTGTCAAATTTGTGATCAGCTACCCCGAAAACCCCCAAAGAAACTTGTTACGATCTAATTTAGTCAATTTCAAATATTTTTCTGCCATATTGCATCCGCCATTTTAAATTTTTAAAAACAAATACCGAATTTGTGATCAGCGACCCCGAAAACCCCCGAGTAACTTGTTACGATCGAATTTAGTCTATTTTAAATATTTGTCTGCCATATTGCATCCGCCATTTTGAATTTTAAAAAAATAATACCTAATTCGTACTCAGCGACCCCAAAAACCCTCCGAGTAATTACTTTCAAGCGGATTTAGTCGATTTTTAATTTCCATGTCATCCATATTGTATCCGCCATTTTGAATTTTTGAAAACCAATACTGAATTCGCAATCAGCGACCCCAAAAACCCCCGAGTAACTAGTTAGGATCGAATTTAGTCTATTTTAAATATTTGTCTGCCATATTGCATCCGCCATTTTGAATTTTTAAAAACAAATATCTAATTCGTAATCAGCGACCCCGAAAACCCCCAAGTGACCAATTTTAGGAGAATTTATTCGATTTTTCAAAAACTATCTGCCATATTGGATCCGCCATCTTAAATTTTTCTAAACAAATATCTAATTCGTAATCAGCGACCCTGAAAACCCCCGAGTGATCAGTTTCGATCGAATTTAATCGATTTCAAACATTTGTCTGCCATATTGCATCCGCCATTTTGAATTTTAAAAAACCAGTGTCGAATGCTTAATTAGCGACCACGAAATCCCAGAGTGCCTAGTTTCCAGAGAATTTGTAGGATTTTTTAAAAAAACTATCTGCCATATTGCATCCGCCATTTTAAATTTTTTAACAATAATAAAGAATTCGTACATATAGCAACCTAAAAAATCCCCGTGTCACGTGTTACAATCAAATTAATTCGATTTCAAATCCTTTTCTGCCGTGTTTTATCCGCTATTTTGAAAAACTAATATCGAATTCGTAATCAGCGACCCCAAAAACCCCTGAGTAGCAACTTTTAATCCAATTCCGTTACTTTTAAATTTTTTCGTCCGCCATATTGCATCCGCCATTCTTAATTTTCAGAAATTAATGTCAAATTCTTTGGCAGCAACCCCGAAAACTACAATTTTAGCTTTATTTTAATAAAATTAAGTTAGTTTAAAATTCTTTTTCCTGTGTCATACTTGAATTGTTATTATGAATGTTCGACAAACAATAATGCCCAATTCGTAGTTCACATTCCTGAAAAACCTCAAAAGTAACTTGTTTCAAACGAATTTAGTTGATTTAAATTTTCTCGGCCTACCGTATAACATTTTATTCCTTTTTGTTCGTCACACAAATTATGCGCAGCAGTATTTTTAAATATTAACGCATGTCTAGTAGTGTTTCGTAACAGTTACGCATGCGCAGAAGCGTTCTATCGATGTTACACATGCGCACTAGTGTCCTATCGTAGCTACACATGCGCAGTAGGGTTCCATCGTAGTTACACATGCGCAGTAGTGTCCTATCGTAGGTACACATGCGCAGTAGTATCCTATCGTAGTTACACATGCGCAGTAGTGTCCTATCGTTGTTATACATGCGCAGTAGTATCCTATCTTAGTTACACATGCGCAGTAGTGTCCTATCGTACATATTCATGCGCAATATTTATTTTATCGTATTTAAGCATATCTACTATTGTTTCTGCATAGTAAAACATGCGCAATACTATTTTTAAGTTTAAAATTAGTTAAAGTTAAACAATCAGGTAACATTCAATGGCTATAAACTCAATTTTTCATAACTACTTTACTTTTCTGCTCAATTTTATTAATTTTCCAAAATATGAAAATAGTTTAGTAAAGTATGGGCAACGACTAGACTCAATTTTTCCGAAATATTTTACTTTTTTATTTAATTTTATTAATTTTCCGATATGCTGAAAGAGTCTGACAAAGTATGGATGATGGACAAAAGTTAGAATAAATTTTTTAAACTGTTCTATCAAATTTTCTACATTTTCCGAACTAAGGGGAGACTCTGGCAAAGTATGAGCCTATAATGGCATCAGCCATTAGGCTTTTAATTATTATTCATTAAAATTCACTATATATTAGTTATTATTCATATAACTTGATGAGTTACAATAATTGATTAATAATAATTACTCAATTAAGCATAAAAAAATTAATTATTAAAAATTTTTGTAAAATAAATAGTTATTTCTTATGGGTATAGAAATTTTGCAATGAAAAGCGCCGGGGCGAAAGTAAATTCTAGTCACGTCATTGCTGTGTACCGCTTACGTCAAAACCGAAATGTGTCGAGGTGAGCCGAAGTTGGGATCAGTTGCCGGTGATTGGAGGAGAAGATCGGCGTCTCTCGTTGCTAGGTTACCGACAATCGGGTACCAGCCAGGGATGGGGGCAAGAGCGCCTGGACCACACACGCGGCACCATTTCCCCTCGAGCAAAAACATTACCACTACTAATGCATACCGGCCATAAGGAACACAAACGACGCGTACACACAAACACACACACACAAAAATACATTCACGCATTGTGTATAGTTTACCCTCTGCCCACACCGTCTCAAGAAACTTTACGTGCGCGCACACGACCGAATACGCTTTTACTTGACAGATATCTGTGATGCAAGAATCGAGGATCTGCTTTCAGCTGTCTGCACAAACCTAAGCGACGTTTGACGCGCTCTCAAAATATCCTTTCCCGCTCACTGTTTATAACAATATCAATCCGCTATTTCTATTTTTAATCTATTTTTTATGATTTTTTTTTGGTTTTCGAGAAGAATATCTAGTTTTACAAAAATCTATATAATAAAAAGGAAAAAGAATAGAAAAGGGACTATCGACTATCCTTTTCTATCTTAAAAGTGAAAATTTTATATTCGATTCTTGCGCCATCTTGCACATTGGAGTTACTATTAGCGATGCATGAGCCCAGGTGGAACAGTTAACGTTAGCTAATGCTACTAACGTTACCTAACGTTAGACTAACGTTACCTAACGTTAGACTAACGTTACCTAACGTTAGACTAATGTTATATAATCTGATATTAGTGATCAAAAAATGTCGTTAGACTAACGTAAACTTTTCCACCTGGGAGATAAAAAAGGTCAAAAGTATAACTATCCTTTTCTATCTTATATGCACTATAGGACAACTCTGAATGAACTCTCTAAATATTACAAGTTTTACATGAGGGAGCAAAGGTTAGAAATATCTTATGTCCTTGTCTAGAAAAAGGCAAAAGATATTTCCTTCCTTCTTTCTCGCATACAAACAAAAATCAAAATATTTAGATGCTTCGTTCTGTGTATGCTTATTTAGTTAGCAAATCAACTGCATACCTATTATGATTTTAAAAATGTATTTTGAAAAATACATCAATTTTTTTATTATTCTTCAATTTCGCGTTTATGGAAGCTTGAACATGTAGTGTTTTATAATAGAGGAAGTAAATCATCTTTTTCACACTTGAAGGGGCATTTTTCATTTATGTTGCACGCTTTCATCTTGATTATTGACACCGTTATTTATAAAGGAACCGCTTTTGTTCACGACTGGAACCAAAAGAGACAATTTCACACTAATGAAGAAATATCGGTAACCCTCGAAATTGTCGAAGCTTTCCGAGAATATTATAAGGGAAGTATTTTTGAGAGTGCGACTGTAAATGATGAAATTTGGAAAGTATTAAAAAAAATTACTATATACTGAAGATTTCCTCATTGCATTCGGATATTCATTTTTTCTGAAATATTTTACTTTTCTATTCAATATTTTATTAATTTTTCGATTCTAGAAAAGAATAAGCAACAGCTGGATTCCATTTTTTCGAAATATTTTACTTTTCTATTAAATTTTATTAATTTTCCAAAATATGGGAAGAGTCTGGCAAAGTATGGGCAACGGATAGACTTAATTTTCCCAAAATATTTAACTTCTCTTTTGAATTTTATTAATTAATTTTCCGAAATGTGGGAAGCGTCTGGCAAAGTATATGGGCAAAGGCTAGAATCAATTTTTTTAAAAAATTTTTTACTTTTCTATTCAATTTTATTAATTTTTTTAAAAATGAGAAGATTCTTGACAAATATGGGCAAAAACTGGAATTAATTTTTTTTTTATTTTTTACTTTTCTATTCAATTTTATTAATTTTTGGAAATATGGAAAGAGTATGGTGAAGTATGGGCAATGGTTATCGCCATTTTTTGAAAATTTTTTCGCTTTTCTATCAAAACTTTATAAATTTTTCGAAATATGGGTTTTTATGAAGTTCCTAGTAATTACATAATTAGGATTTCTACGTCCATTCTGTTAAATATGATCGATTTTTACTTTACCAAATTATTATGTCCATTCGACAAAAATTAAAACCAATTTGTTACAAAAACTAAAAAATTTTTCAAAAAATGATGATAACCATTTAGAAATAAGTCAACAGAAAATTCTATCTCCCAATATTTTTGACAGTTCCATTCATCCGAAATACAGTGGGACCTCTTTATGGAAATGAAACTTTTTATAGCGTACAAAAAAAAACAAAACGTTTAAAAATAAATAAGAGGCAATTTGACGATTAATTTATATTATTTATTTTTTCTTTTTTTTTTTTTTAATTGGATTCAAGTTAGACTCGCACGTGCGACAAAGAGAGAGAGAAAGAGAGCGCAAGAGAGAGGGAGTGAGAAATAGGGAGGGGAGAGGTTAGGAGATTGAAAAAAAAGTCAGTGAGAGG